TTGTGCCATCTGACGCAACGGCCTAATTGAGACGCGGGAGAGGCAGGAAGTAGGGAGAGGTAGACCACAACTAGCGGCCTGGGGCGGTGCGTACGTTGAATATTCTCTATCAGTGCGGAATATTTAAACGGCTAACATACCAACTCATGTTCTATTTCGAGGCCGCTGCGCGGCCAGCACAAAAAGCCGGGTCTATATATAAATACTGCCATCCCGTCACTATTTGTAGAAACTTAAAGTCGTTGAACCATTCAATTGCGTCAAACTGCGCTGACGCGGCTTCTTCGCGCTGAAACAACGTGTTATTGTACATAGCGTCTACACAATGTGTTCCCGACAAATATGTCGCACGTATACGTCCCTCCCTCCCTTTTTACGCACTCACACCTCCTATGTCTTGCTGCATGCTTTTCTTTTGTTGGTGGCATTTGTTGCCCCTGCGCAGTACGGGAATAGTTCTGAGTCCATCACTAACCGGCGTCGCCCATCTCCTCACAGCCCCACCACCATCTCGCTCTCTTTTCTGCCTTGCGATTGGAAGCAGTAAAGCACGCCACGCCGCCGCCGCTGTTGACGTGCGTTTTATTGAATGCGTCGGCCTGATGTCTCGTAGTGGGCTGTCACGCTCAGCGATCGAGGTGGTGCTAAAAGTGCGCAATAAGCAAGACAGACAATACAAGAGAAGCCTCCGCCCTCCCAGCAAACAAGGCTGCCGCGGTGCTGCCTATTCTGTTCGCAGCGAAAACCAATGCAACCACGCGGTAAGCCAAGTGACAGCTTGCGCTTTCTGTCTGCGTCGTGCGGTGGCGTGGTCTGTCACGGTAGCGGTCACGCCGCGTGCGCTGCGTGGCGCGTAAGTGGCCTCGGGGTTGCCAGCGGGCGGCGGTGCGGGGCGGTCGTTCATAATGATTGCCCAAGTCGAACCCTTGTCGGGGTCTACACGTCGACGTACCTGCGACACAGAACGACCGTCGCCAGAGCGCAGGGATGAAGATGAGTATCACCGTATAGGTCGACGATCAGGGCTGTCTGTTTCGATGCGAGCGCGCGCGTGCCTGCTTTCGTGTGCCAACGGAAAAGAGCACGGTTTGTTTTGTTTCCAGTGAGGTCACGCCTTTCAGCTGCTGAAGTTTACTAGCATCGGTGTAACCGTTGCAGCGTCTATTCGAAAATCGGATCTATTTTGAGCTTGTAATGTTTTAATTATTTAGAGAAAGAGGAGGATATTAGTTTGAGTAGACCGCCGTTTTCGGAAGTGTTTTTTTTATGGTCGTCGAATGTTGTAAGAAATTTCCAACCAGTGTAGCTATGTATATGCTATCTCTTAAGTTGCAATGATCGTGGCGATGAATGTGATTGTCTCTCCCTGTATGTCGCATTCATATTATTTACTCCATATATTCTGTATGTTGAAAGGTAGCGGCACTGCACATATATTAGGTGAATCTAGGTTCCTGTCTTCTGCGGGTGATTGGTGGTTCGGGCTTTCCATTCCCGTTTAGCGAATATGTATTCGAGCGTGAGAGTCTGATGAAAGCTGCGCTTACCTGATTCTGTAGCATTCTGTGTATAAGAATGGCGCTACAGGCTTATGGAGGCTCGCAGTAGAATTCATCTTCGCGTCCCTAATTGGTGCTGCGGCGCGTCAAGTGTTTTAGCCACCTGCTCGGGTTGTTCACTGTCGGCCGAGGTCAGGACTAGCGCAGTGCAGCGAGGTTTTCAGAGGTGGGCACACCGCATCCTCGCCCAGCAATGATTAGTTGCTGCCTAACCCGCATCCACACTCGGCAAATTCCGTGTTACTAACCTACACCACCTCACGAGTGTGGGTGTTGCTAATCGACGAACTATTACCCCACACGCACAAGTTTCTGCGCTAGCCTGCCGATGAAGCACCAGCATCTGCGGCAGTGGTGGTGGTACCTACTGAGGATGGCGTGATCATGTGTTGCGAAGAAAGCAGGGATGTCGGCAGCTGTGGCGCTGACGCATAGCGTCCTTTTCTGCTGCCGCTGCTGCTGTTGCCTTTGTGGATGCTGTTTGTTGCTGGTTGGTGCTGCGCACTATTAATGTTGTTTCGCTGCCTGACTGCTGGCTTGCTGCTGCTTGCTTGCTACTAATGCTGTTGCTGTTACTGCTGTTACATACGCTGGTTGCTAATGTACTGCTGCTTGTTGCCGCTTGCTGGTAGTCTGGCCACTATTACATGTTGTGCTCGCTACTGTGCTTGCCTACCTGCTACTACTGCTACTGCTACTGCTGTTGTTGCTGCTGATGTTGTTGCTGCTGGTTCTGCCACTATTAATGTTGTCGCTACTGCTGCTGCTACTGCTACTACTGCTACTGCCGTTACTGCTACTGCTATGCTACTGCCTACTGCTACTGGCTTACTGGCCTACTGCCTGGTTGTTACTGCTTGATGTTGTTGTGCTGCTGTTGTTGCTGCTGGTTCTGCCACTATTAATGTTGGCGCTGCTGCTACTACTACTAATACTGTTGCTGCCCCCGCAACTGCTGGCCTGCTCGGCTGCTAGCGCCGGAGTGCTGCTGCTGTTAGCGGTTGCTGCTGCTGGCTGCCTCGTGGTTCTAGGTGGTTTAAACCAGTGATTCACGTGAATTTAAAGCATCTTTCGCGTCTTGAAAATAATTTAGTGTACGCGGCTGAAAAGCCGCAGTTATGTACGGCCGTAAACGCGCCAGCATGTGCCGCCCAGGGCATCGTAGGAGATGAGGCAGTCGAATATAGTGCCGGAACCGCTTTGCGAAATTTACGGCGAGTAAGGCATCTCAGGGTCACTCTGCGTAAGGCGAAGTCCGCAGGGAAGGGTGGCAGTCTAGAGGGATTTCGTGAAGAGAGGACAGGCCCAGACGGAGAGAGATGGTTAGGATAGAGGAGGGGAGAGACCGAACGGAGGAGTCAGGTCGCGTCCTCCCGAGAGGCGGGCGCCTGGGAGGATAGGAGAGGTCCTGATTCCGCCTGAGAGAGGCTGTATGCAGGGTAGCGAGGGTGGAAGCGCCAGAACAGAAGAGGACGAGAAGGTGAGAGGAGAGCGGTGAATCAAGGCAGTAATGATACCGTATTATGAACTAGCTTATGTTGTAGCCGGTTAAGTATATGGATTATGGTAGCGTGTGGTGGGAAGGTCATGCATGTGTCCATTAGGGGGCGGTAACCTAGTGTGCGCTTCCAAGCGCGTAGCATTTCGTACGCAACCACGCCGCATGTTGGTTAATTAAGACAAAAAAGAAAGTGTCGCATGCTTGCACCTGGCCGTGCGCAAATGCGGCCCTTGGGCCCGCGGCCGTTGATGCGTTAGGACGACGACCGCCGACGGCGGGTACAAATGTAAGTTTTCGCGGATGTTGTAATGATTCCGGCCGGTTGTAGTACGCACATGGCGCGGACTAGACAACACCGTGTTGCCCACGTGCTGTCATGGCTCAGGTGCAGCATGGCTGCTGGTTACCCGTGGTTAGTCCGCTGTTTCGCTGTTGCCCACTGACAGGGCTGTCACGATCACTCGTTTAGCCCGTGTTAGCCTTCGCGCCCACTACAGGGCGTAGCTGACCGATCCATATCTTTGAGCTGGCTACCCGGCGTGCGACCCTGGTCGCTTGCCCCCCGGCTACACGCTAGGTGTGATGCTAGTCTGGAAGTCATCAGCTGAGCTCTACCGGTGTTTAGCCCCCAATTGGGCGTCCTCCCGCTTTACAGGCCGACTGCCCTGTACGTTCAGACATTAACGCGCTCTTGACCGTGGTGGTAGCCCTTCCGCTTGTACCAAGCTGGGTGTGTGTGATAGGAATGTTGTGGTCTAAGGCCTCTGACGCGGTGGAGGCTCCTTCCGCCTCCCGATCACGCCGCGCAACACAGCTTCTGACCGATGCGAGGGAGTGCACGAGGTAGTAGGCTCATGCTAGGAGTATTTAGCGGGCAGATCGTTTTGGCCCCGGAATGTGTCCGGCGCTGCGGAGTGGGTATCCAATGGCGCTCGCGCTTTGTGTGCGAAAATGCTATACAGCGGGGATAGCACGAATGGCATTCA